CCTCGGAAGGTGAATTTTTGGGGCAAAGGATGATTTTCTCGTAAATAATCCCAAAGACTCAACAAAAGCAAATGAACCTCGAAAGGTGCCAAGTGGGGGAAGATCTCCTGCATGTTCCCCAGAACTGGTGGCACCAAAGAACCTTCAGCCATGCAAGACACCAACCAACACGAAGCTTGGAGATGCCACGGCCAAGCCACCGTCTTCAAATCCCGACAAGAATCCCAAAAAGCCATTAAACTCCCCAAAAGTCCTCGGAGAAGAACGGAACAATAACAAAGAGCCGGTCGGCCGGCGGCGATCAACCTTAAAATAGGGAAGAGAAGGGGATGGTCACGGAAACGGCGGCAGATTTTGAGGTCTCTCTCCACGGTTCCACGCGATTGATCTTCAGGTGGCCACATTAATTCTCCACCAGAAGCTTCAGGGCAAAGGTTCTCCACCAAGGCGGCGGCTACGGCTTTAGCGGCTTCGGGGTGGACGTCGGTGAGGGGGTATGGAGATGGGTCGTGGTCACCGGGGTGGTGACGGCGACAACAGCGGAGGAGGAGAGCGAGGAAGAGGTGGATGTTGCGGGTTGAGTGTTCCCACGTTGGTTCTTCTCTTGTCCACGTTGGTTTCAAACCTTTTCCGATCACCCCGGCGTGAAAAACCGACCAAACTCCACCGGAGAAGTGAACGTTGGCGGTGAAACGACGGTTGATGTCCAACAAAGAGACGTTATTCCCACTATTCCCAGTATTCCCAGTGTTCCCAGTAGATCCATCCAACCCAACCACGTCTTCATGGAGATGTTTCTCCACGGTAGCACCAAAAAGTTGAGCGTTTCCAGGTCGTAAAGCTCCTTCTACCAACTGTTGGACGACGGTTTTGCCGGCGGCCGGCGAGACGGCGCTGAGACGAGTCACCAAGCGGTCGCTGTGACAAAGGTTGGTGGCATCTGGGTGACGTAAGAGCCAGAAGAACTGGTGGACGGCGGCGCGGATGAGGGAGAAGAGGTGAGCCGGGGGGACGGCGCGAGGGAAAGGACAGACGGACAACAAGAGACAAGCGGCTTCGGCGACTCCAGAGTTGGGGTGAAGGAGAAGTTGAGCGAAGTCATGGAGATAACGAGGGAGGATGGTGGTTAATTGGACAGCCATGATGGTGGCACTTCCTTCAGGACCTTCCCATTCCAAGATGGCCGCTAAATTATGACAAAGTTGACTAATTTGGGGTTCCGGTAACGAACCGGCGTGGATTTGAGCCACGCACGTCTTGACGGTGGATGGGAGAAGATCCACCAAGGAAGAAGAAAGGACGGCGTAAAGTTGAGTGGCCAAAGTCAACTCTTCAGGTGTCTTGGCCAAAGTCAAGAGGTAGAAGAGAGCGTCGGTGGCGCAATGAGGAGCCGAGTAAAGAGCCAAGAGACTCAAGAGTTGATGTTGCCAAAGACAACGTTTGCGTTCCAACCGTAAGGTCTCCACGCAAAGTTCCCGGAGGTGAGATCTCAAAGAGTCCAAAAATGGGACAGGACGTGAGAAGGTCTCGGAGAAATGAGACGTTGGCCGGTGATAAACTAATTGTTGTAAGTTGAGGAGAAGAAGTTGGATGATCCGATCGCAAGCGTCGCGGACGCCGTCGTGAAGACTCAACCCCGGTTGGGTGATGACCGACGCCGGCATGGCCGTGTTGACCAAGAATTGAAGGATTCGATAAGCACCGGTGGATGTTTGTGAAATGAGATGGACGAGGATGGTGAGCATGTTCTCCAGATCTTCTCGTGGGAGGGTGAGGAAATGTTGGTGGAGTTGGTTGAGAACGTTGGGTTTGAGGGAATCGATTAATTCGGTGGAGATGGTGCCGAGTAACGAAGGAGACATGAGGGCTAATTGGAGGAGGAAAGGGACGGTGGCTTTTTGGTGATGGTCTCTGGTAGGACCTAAACTTTCATGGAACATGCGGAGAAGTTCTTGTTTGATGCTGGTGGAGTGACGAGAAGATAAATGACCCAAGATCCCAACCACCGAAGCGATTTTAGGAGCTCGTTTGTCGGGGAAAATTAAATCAGTTGATGAACCAGAACCAGGGAAGTCTTTAGATGATGGGCCATGGCCACCAAAGTCTTTAGTTGGTGGCCCAAAGTCTTTAGATGATGGGCCATGAGCACCAAAATCTTTAGATGATGGGCCATGAGCTCCAAAGTCTTTAGTTGGTGGCCCAAAATCTTTAGTTGATGGCCCAAAATCTTTAGTTGATGGCCCAAAATCCTTCATTGATGGTCCATGAGCTCCAAAGTCTTTACTTGGTGGCCCAAAGTCTTTAGTTGGTGGCCCAAAATCTTTCATTGATGGCCCAAAATCTCTAGATGATGACCCAAAATCTTTCATCGATGGTCCATGAGTTCCAAAATCTTTACTTGATGGCCCAAAATCTTTAGTTGATGGCCCAAAATCTTTCATGGATGGTCCTTGACCACCAAAATCTTTGGCCAACATCCCTTGAGCTCCAAAATCTTTAGTTGACGACCCAAAATCTTTCATGGATGGTCCATGGGGACCAAAATCTTTAGTTGGTGGCCCAAAATCTTTAGTTGGTGGCCCAAAATCTTTAGTTGGTGGCCCAAAATCTTTAGATGATGACCCAAACTCTTTCATGGATGTTCCATGACCACCAAAATCTTTGACCGACATCCCTTGACCACCAAAATCTTTACTGATGGTTCCTTGAAGACCAAA